ATTTTCGAAGCATTCTCATACGTTGTCTTATAAACGGCTGAAATTGTCAACGCAATCGCCAACAGAATAACGTCACGTGTTAATCGTATTCAACGTCTGGGCCGCCTGTGATTTTATGCATTTCCGCGGAGCCAGCGAGTCTGAGTAGTTAGGGCGCCGGACTTGAAATCCGGAGGTCGCGGATTGAAGTCCCGCTGTGACCATTACGCTGGAGTATTTTTTTAGTAGACCCTAGTTCAACTCCTTGGTCATGGTTGTACGACTGGTCTGCCTCCCGCCAGCTGGGATGTTTAAGACTATTGCGTTCAATTGATATATTTCTTTCTTTCAGTTTAAGTGGCATGCCTGTGAACTAACTACATGAGCTTGGCCCATTGACCACTATAAACGCTCAACATTTTGCTCTGGCGCTTTGCATAAGCGACATACACAGAAACAACGTGCTGTTAAGTAGCTCTTTTGTTAGCATATGTTCCTAACAACTGAACCAAAAGGTGCTAATAATCCGATCTGATAATCTTAATCGCTAATAATCTCGTAATGCGTCTGTGTGCCACACAGACGCATTACGAGATCATTAGCGGCTTATGCTGACGATTATCAACCTTTACAGAAGTACTTCTATTAACAGACGTAACATGAATCTACAAAGCAAGCGCGTTCTTCCCGTTAGTTAAATGTTCTTTTTCCCATCTCACATCAATGCAATCTCAATTTTTTGCAATGGTCTGCGACCGTTATCTCTCAGCAATTGACTGGTGCAAAGCGGGTGTATTTACTTAATTGAGGAAAAAACATTGTTCAAATAATGTTTGTTCGCCTGTTTATGACGTGGTTTAGACATACGTGCCCCTGCATTTCATCGCACAAAGCCGAGTTTTTAAGCTATTTGGTTGCCAATGTGACAGAAACAAGCATTGATTAACTTAATCCACAGCCACGTTGTGACGTCGTTTGTATTGATAATTTGGTTTTGACTTGCTTGAGAATTTGTTTGTTTTAAAAATTTCTACAAACGTGTAAGATCCACGCAGGCAATCTTTACAAATTGTGGGTAAACAGTTGATCAATTAGCAAGTCTTCAGAGCTTTAAGCACTGAAATTAACTTGTCCTCGCAAATTCTTGCCATAAGCACAACTCCAATGAGGTACATTTGATTTATCTTTATCTCCGGGGTCAAAACAAACACGTAGTTATCGCCGAGTTCAAACGCTTTCTTTCAGTTTTGAAAAGTGAAAACATAGAAAGTAATGTCTGCCGGCATTTGCTTTGGTTAAAAATTAAGAACTCAACGTAAACGGCTACTAAGCTAAGGATGGGTGAAAAAGTGTAAATAACATGGCTACAG